GCTCTCCAAGCTTCAGCGAAAGCCTGTATTCGCCCCATAGGACGCACACACATTTCCCTTCATTTTTGGAGGGAAAAAGTGCGTCCTATAGGAGCGAAAAATACGGTAGTTTACAAACACCTCGGGTTACAAACACTTGGGGTTTCAGACTCCACTAACCTGGATGTAGTACCTCGGGTTAAGAACTTTACCTCAGGATGAGAACAGAAATCACGCGATAGCAGCACAGTGGCAGCAGTAGGCCCCATTAGCTAAAGTGGTAACTCAGGTTAAGAACGGTTTCAGCTTAAGAACGGTTTCAGGTTAAGAACGGACCTCTAGAACTAATTAAGTTCATAACCAGAGGTACCACTGTATCCACTATTTGTGAGGGGGATAAACCATATTGTTGATTCTGCACTCCGATACACACCGCAAAATACATACAGTTACAAGACAAATGCTCTGGACAACACAATGTTAGTTTTTGAAGACATTTGCACAGAAGACTATGCACAGAAATCAGCAGATTAACTGGTGAGATACTTCCTGTGGCTGAAAGCTGATAATGAAGCATATGTAACAAACTTCATATCAAGGAAACGTCTTGAAAAACACAAGCTCTTGCAGAAACTGAATCTTCAGTAAAAAAGGAGGGGGCTTCCCCAAGGGAAAATCTCTCAGCAAAATGAGGAAGAACCTTTGCACAAGAAAAATCAACAACACCACACCATCTTTTTTTTTTTTAAAGAATATTTATTCCAATTTTACAATTACAAAAAAAGAAAAAGTATAAAAAAGAGAAACACAAACCACATACATCTTATAAAAAACAGACAATAAAAAAGGAATAAGAAAAATAGAAAATCACAATAGAAATTAAAGGAAATAACAAAACACCTATTTGACCTTTACAAACCATTTTCCCATTTACTTATTTCCATGACTTCCTCTCACCTCCCTGCTTTGTATTCTAGTTTAAATCGTATCTCCAGCAAATCCTTCTAACCTTCTTTTCTTTTACTTATTTTAACATTCGAAAGTATTTAATTCTCCTCTATCCTCATTTTACACTTCATATTTACTTATTCCATTATACCCTGTCTGCCAATACGGTCTAATATTCTTCTCCAACCTTTTTCTAACATTCTTTTATATTGCAGTGTTTCTGAAGATATATTTTAAATTTTTTCCAGTGTTCTTCCATCAACCCTTCTTCCTGATCTCAAATTCTGCCGGTCATCTCAGCCAGTTCCATATTGTCCATCACTTTCCTCTGCCATTCTTCTTGGGTAGGCAATTCTTGTGTCTTCCAGTATTTCCCAATGAGTATTCTTGCCGCTGCTGTCGCATACATAAAATTCCTGTCTTCCCTTCTCACCAATTGGCCGACCATGCCCAAGAGGAAAGCCTCTGGTTTCTTCACAAAAGTGTATTTCAATACCTTTTTTAATTCATTATATATCATTTCCCAGAAGGCCTTGATCTTTGGGCACGTCCACCAAAGGTGAAAAAACGTACCTTCATTTACTTTGCATTTCCAACATTTATTATCAGGCAAATGATAAATTTTTGCTAGCTTGACTGGGGTCAAGTACCATCTATATATCATTTTCATTATATTTTCTCTTAAGGCGTTACAAGCCGTAAATTTCATACCTGTGGTCCATAACCGTTCCCAGTCGGCAAACATGATATTATGCCCAACATCTTGTGCCCATTTAATCATCGCAGATTTAACCATTTCATCCTGTGTAACACCACACCATCTTTAAGACTTGTTCTATAAAACTCAAAATATAGCTTAGATGTTTTATATGAAAGGACTACCCCAACATTTTCTTCAAATGTTCATTTCAGATGAAATTCAATGGAATTCCTACACTTGGACTTGCCACTATGAACACTCCTCTACATGCCTCTGAACATGTATCATACATAACAAGTGGCTAATCAATCAAACCAGTTAGCCAGAGTCATATTGGGGGCCAAGGGGATTAGAGATGATAGACCACCTCCTATCCCATGGGTTACTTATCCATGAGGAAGAAAAGGGTTATAGCCAGATGGGGAGGTGGTATGGCCCCAGGCACACAATTTTGAAGGAGGCAGTGCTAAAACCACTCCTTAAGAAACCTTCCCTGAATTTGGAAAACCTAACTAACTACCAGCCAGTTGCTAATCTCCCTTTTCTGAGCAATGTTCTGGAATGAGTGGTCACAGACCAGATCCAGGCACTTCTGGAAGAAACTGATTTTCTGGTTCCATTTCAATCGGGGTTTAGGCCCGGTTTTGGCACAGAAACTATTTTGGTTGCCCTGTTTGATGACCTCTGTTGAGACAGAGACAAGGGAAATATGTCCCTGTTAATTCTTCTCAACCTCTCAGTGGCTTTTGATACCATTGACCATGTTATCTTTCAGAAGTGACTGTCCGAATTAGGAGTGGGTGGTACCTCTTTGCGGTGGTTCCAGTCCTACTTGGATGGTCGTTCCCAGAGGGTGTTGCTTGGGAAATGCTTTTCAGACCCATACAATGTGGGGTTCCACAGGGCTTAAGCCTATCCCCACATTATTTAACATCTACATGAAACCACTATGGGGATATCTGGAGGTTTTGAGTCCACCTATTCCAAACGTGTTAATTCCAACAGACCTCTGATTGGAATTGTGCTGTAAGTAAATCAAACCTATGTGCTGAGTGGCAAACACCAGCAGAATTTCAAGTGGCAGGAAATTAGAAAGCTGGGCTGCCACCGTCACTAAAGATAAGCGTCATTATCCAATTTAAAGATCCTGACAGATATTTCAGATTGTAGTATCTGCTATTTGTGGGTGAGGGGATAAACCATATTGTTGATTCTGTGCTCTGATACGCACACCCAAAATGCATGCAGATACAAAAAAATGCCCTTCACAGCAAAATGAAGAGATTTGATCACAGCAACTATGTGAGCAGAAATGAGCATAGTAATTGGTGAGATATTTCCTGTGGTTGAAAGCTGATAATGAAGCATGTGCAACAAATGTCATATCAAGGAAAGTTGTTGAAAAACACAAACTCTTGCAGAAACTAAACATAGTAATAGCCACCCAGAGTGGCTGAGAAAACCCAGCCAGATAGGCAGGTTATAAATAATAAATTATTATTAAACTATTATTATTATTACTATTATTATTATTATTATTATTATTATTATTATTATTATTTTATTTTCAGTAAAGGAGGGGTCAGGTAACTTGTCAGGAAAATGTTTCACCTGTGGAAATACCTTTGCCTAAGGAAAACCAACATCAGGACACGATCCTCTCATATGGTCGCCATTGCCATTCTAAGAGAATGAGGGAGGTGTTCATGGTGTGTTCCAGCACCTCTTTTTCTAGAAAAATAGCACTGGGTATGGGGGACCCCCTGCTCACCCTCCTGTTCATGGAGACGCAGGTCAATTCTGCCTTGCCAGAGTGGTGTATGCTTTGGATATCTCCCACTTGGACTACTGCAATGCGCTCTACATGGGGCTACCTTTGAAGGTGACTCAGAAACTACAACCCATCCAGAATGAAGCAAATAGATTAGCCACTGGGAGTGACCGCCAGAACCATATCACACCAGTCCTAAAGGATCGACATCAGCTCCAAGTACAGTGGTACCTCGGGTTAAGAACTTAATTCGTTCTGGAGGTCTGTTCTTAACCTGAAACTATTCTTAACCTGAAGCACCAATTTAGCTAATGGGGCCTCCTGCTGCCGTTGCACCGCGCTGCACAATTTCTGTTCTCATCCTGAAGCAAAGTTCTTAGCCCGAGGTAATATTTCTGGGTTAGCGGAATACCTGAAGCGTATGTAACCTGAGGCGTCTGTAACCCAAGGTACCACTGTATATTTCCGAGCATAATTCAAAGTTTTGGTGCTGACCTTTAAAGCCCGAAGTGGCCTCTGACCTGTATACCTGAAGGAGCGTCTCCATCCCCATAGCTCAGCCCAGACACTGAAATCCAGCTCTGAGGGCCTTCTGGCGGTTCCCTCACTGCGAGAAGCCAAGTTACAGGGAACCAGACAGAGGGCCTTCTCAATAGTGGGGCCCATCCTGTGGAATGCCCCCTTCCATCAGATGTCAAGGAGATAGAGAACTACACAACATTTAGAAGACATCAGAATACAGCTGTGTATATGGAAGTTTTTAATGTTTGATGTTTGATTGTGTTTTAAATATTCCGTTGGGAGCCAACAAATTATTATTATTATAAGTAGTAATAGTAGTAAACTGACCAATATCTACCCTTGGTTTAGGAGGGTCGCTGTTGTGCAATTTCTAGTGTAGCTTAATGTCAGTATAACCATACTACTCAGAAGTAAGACTTACTAAATTTCATGGGCATGTCTCCCAGATAGGACTGGGGCCTGAATTCGTTAGTCTGAAAGGTGCCACACAGAATGTTTAACTAGGTCCCCATTAAAGTTTCTGCCCTCTGGAAAAATATCATCCCTCACCCCAACTTATTTACTTGTACATTTTGTTTCCAGAAAGTGTGGCAGAATATCAAATGGAGTAGCGCATAAGAGACCAGGGTTACAATTACCACTCATCGATGGAAGGCGGTATATAAATTGAATAAATATAATAATAATAATAATAATAACAACAACAACAACAATAAACAATTGATATGTTTCAAATGGCCATTCATACTGTTTACTATGCACCATCTTGTACATCCGTCAAATTCATTTGTGAATAAAAATATAGGCTTACTCAATTTGAATTCTCTAATCAAATTAGCCACTAAAACAATCTACCTATCAATTCCATTGGTTTGAATTCTGTGTCTGCAATTTTCTTCCTTTTCTAACGCCTACTTCCTATGAAGTTTGTTATCCAGATCTATTTCAAAATCTTCTGGTGCTTCAGTTTCCTCTTTTGATTTCTGATTACTTTTGTTGCTGACTAGCTCATCAGCGGCTGTTCCGGCTATAACTCTAGCTTGTGTTTCTTGGGGGCCAGTACATTTTATCGACTATCCCATGATGGATGATTACGAGGTAAGCACTCTTAAACAAAAGCTCCCTTTAATTGCTTCCCCATTTGCTTTTACATGATGCTGATTTAGGTCCCTGTTTGCTGATACTGTGACAATTTCTCTCTGCATGCTTTCATGAGTTAGGCTTGAGATTGAATTTAAGATGTATAGCAGCTTGTAAAAGAGAAAACAGATAGGCTGGCTGTTCATTTCAGCTATTTCCACTACCAAACACTGTAAAAACAAACAACCTTGTCATAACCATTAACCAAATGAGGTTAAGGGGGTAAGCATGCAAAGCTAATGTGTAATAGAAATATATATTTCTAGATACATAGAATCAAAGAGTTTTAGAGTTGGAAAGGACCCTGAGGGTTATCTGTTCTCCTCTCTCTCTCTCTCTCTCTCTCTCTCCTCCCAGTCTTATCTGCTGCAGAACTGGACACACTACTTCAGTGATCTCACCAAGGTAAGATATTGCGGTTCTATTACTTCCATTGTTTGGGACACTATAGTTCTGTAGTCTAGAATAGGTTTGAGATTGAATTTGAGGTGTATAGCAGCTTGTAAAAGAGAAAACAGATAGGTTGGCCGTTCATTTCAGCTATTTCCACTACCAAGCATTGTAAAACAAACAAACAAACAAACAACCTTGTCATAACCATTAACCAAATGAGGTTAAGGGGATAAGCATGCAAAGCTAATGTGTAATAGAAATATATATTTCTAGATACATAGAATCAAAGAGTTTTAGAGTTGGAAAGGACCCTGAGGGTTATCTGTTCTCCTCTCTCTCTCTCTCCTCTCAGTCTTATCTGCTGCAGAACTGCACACACTACTTCAGTGATCTCACCAAGGTAAGATATTGTGGTTCTATTACTTCCATTGTTTGGGACACTATAGTTCTGTAGTCTAGAATAGGCTTGAGATTGAATTTAAGGTGTATAGCAGCTTGTAAAAGAGAAAACAGATAGGTTGGCTGTTCATTTCAGCTATTTCCACTACCAAGCATTGTAAAACAAACAAACAAACAAACAACCTTGTCATAACCATTAACCAAATGAGGTTAAGGGGATAGGCATGCAAAGCTAATGTGTAATAGAAATATATATTTCTAGATACATAGAATCAAAGAGTTTTAGAGTTGGAAAGGACCCTGAGGGTTATCTGTTCTCCTCTCTCTCTCTCTCTCCTCTCAGTCTTATCTGCTGCAGAACTGGACACGCTACTTCAGTGATCTCACCAAGGTAAGATATTGCGGTTCTATTACTTCCCTTGTTTGAGACACTATAGTTCTGTAGTCTAGAATAGCTTTTTTTGCTGCTACATCACACGGTTAACTCGTAAAGCTTTTGGTCTACTACAGGCTTCCTCAACATCAACCCTCCAGATGTTTTGAGACTACAATTCCCATCATCCCTGATCACTGGTCCTGCCAGCTAGGGATCATGAGAGTTGTAGGCCAAAAACATCTGGAGGGCCGAGGTTGAGGAAACCTGGTCTACTAAGACCCCTAGATCCTTTTCCCATGTACTACTGGCAAGTCAGGTGTTCTCCATCTTATATTTATGCAGTTGGTTGTTTCTGCCTGACATTGGTACCTATTCCAATTCATTTGTTGGTTCTCCAATCTGTGAAGATCATCTTAAATTCATCATACATACACCATGCTGTTATACAATGATCAACAATGTTATTTGTTGAAAAATGATATTTGATTTGTGAAATTGCAAAGTATTTTTTTTTAATTAAACTACATTGTTTTTGCATTATCCTCCCTCCCCTTGACCTCTTTGCTCATTTGGTCAGTTGTTATTAACATCTATTCTCTTAAACCCAAAGTACCCTTGTAACTGGGTTGTATTTGTGATTTTATTTAGACATTAGAAAATGAGCCTAGCCTTGGCATGGGGTAAGTGCATTTTTAAAATGATTTCATGTTTAGTATAAGCACTGTATCCATTCACTTCACTGTAAACCTGAGAATGTAGGTGTGACAAAGCATAAGTGATTAATATGGAACAATATCTTATAGAGTTTTCACAACAATAGCCAGAGATTTCTATTTTGGATTCTCTCAATTTCTCATGTTTCCAGTTCTTCACATTTCTGCAGAATTTTGAATTAAAAAAAAAAAAAATTTCCTCATGTATTTTAAAAATATTTTAATGTAACTTAGATGAAAGTTACATTTGTTAAAATAAATAAATTTTGTGTGCAGGTTTGAATAATGAGTACACTTTTGCAAGCAATTTCCCATAATATATGCATTTTTGTAGGAATTTCTTGGCTGGAGAACTGCATCAAAAAATGCTCATAAGTGTGAATTTCAAAGAAAAAATGTGCTGTTGTTTTGCATTTTGGTTCAGGAAGTTCAAATTAGATAGTTTCTAATTAAAATGCAAAGAAATTCAAATCTATCCGCCATCTCCAGTTCTGCGATTAGCAAAACCTTCATAGCAACAATCTCAGCTTGATCCAACAATCCTGTGTTCAAGAAAAAGGTTTAGCCCTTTGTCACAAAAAGTGGAGGGGAATAAATACCACTGATAGACTTGCTCCCCTTCCCTTTATTTAAAATTTTCTGGATTAAAGAAAATTTTAGGGGCCGTTGTTACTAAAAAATGGAGGGAAGACCACAGGAAGTACTTCCCCTTTTCTGAGAATCATTTCCTAACTCATAATCATAGAATCATAGAATTTTAGAGTTGGAAGGGCCCCAAGGGTCATCTAGTCCAACCCCCGGCAATGCAGGAATCTCAGCTAAAGCATCCATGACAGATGGCCATCCAACCTCTGCCTAAAAGCCTCCAGTGAAGGGGAGTCCATAATCTCCTGAGGGATTCTGTCCCACTGTCGAACAGCTCTGTCAGATTTTTTTATATATATATTTAGTCAGAATCTCCTTCAACTTGAAGCCATTGGTTTGAGTCCTACTCTCTTCCATGTTCCAGCCCTTAAGATATTTGAAGATGGCTATCATATCACCTCTCAGTCTCCTCTTTTCCAGGTTAAACATACCTTCAACTTCTTTTCATAAGGATTGGTTTCCCAATCCTTGATCATCTTGGTTGCCCTCCTCTACATATGTTCCAGCCTGTCAAAATCCTTCTTAAATTGGGGTGCCCAAAATTGGACACAGTATTCCAGGTGTGGTCTGACCAAGGCAGAATAGAGTGGTACTATTACTTCCCTCAATCTGGCCAGTATACTTCCATTGATGCAGCCTAGAATAGTGTTAGCTATTTCCTAACTTGCTAATGAATCTCAACATTTCACCTACTTTGTGTCAATATTTACTCAATAGTTGTAAAAATGGAAAAGCTACCAAACAGTTTACTTTGAAGGTTCCAGGAAAATGTGTACCGCCAGAGCTAGACAGGTATTGATCTAGACAGGAAGAAATCTTTGCTGCTTAGATTGATCACTGATTGGGTCATGCTGACTTTAGAGTTAATGAAGGTGAACCAAGACATCATATCAGGTACTGAGATCTTTTTATCTCTTCCAGGGAAAACTGTTTTGAGGAAACAGGTGATTCAGATGTAACCCAAAGCAACAGCATAATTATCATCATTTGTATGTTTAGCTTCCTGGGGAATGGAATGGTCATCCGGCTTCGGGGCTTCCACATTAAGAGGAATCCTTGAAAAGATACGAACCAGCTTATTTTGAAGACTCACGAAAACTGTGTAGTGCCTTAGGTGGACAAGTGTTGAACTAGACAAGAAGAAAATCAAATTATCTCTTTGCAATTGGATAATCCTAACTTTTGATGATAGTTAATGCTATAGTTAGTGTATATCCAAAAAAGATTTCCTATTATCTCTTCCAGGATAGAGCATGAAAAGCCAAATCAGTCTTCTGGCGATTCAGATGATGGCTCAACTGTTTCATTGAAGTTAACCCAAAGCATTGCCAACAGTGCCTTTATCATCATCTGCATCTTTGGCTTCCTGGGGAATGGAATGGTCATCCGGCTTCTGGGCTTCCACATTAAGAGGAATCCTTTCACCACCTACATCCTGAACCTCTCCATCGCTGACTTTGGTGTCCTTGCAGCTCTCCTGACTATTATTTTGCCTGTTGTAACTTTCTATGAGAAATCTCATGTTGCTTTTTTGTTTAGAAAAGTATTGTATGAACTATTTTTCTTCACGTATTCTGTGGGCCAGTTTCTACTGACCGCCATCAGCATCGACAGGTCTGTGGCTGTCCTCTTCCCACTTTGGCATCGATGCCACCGACCGGCACGTTCATCCACCATTATTTGTGCCTTGATATGGACCCTCTCTTTCCTGCTCTCAGGCATTCACCTTACTCTCCTACTGACTCAGAGCTTTCCAAACTCTAACCTAGTGTACCAGCTTATTGTAAATGCCCTCATTTGCACTCCTCTGATGGTCACCTCCACTCTGATACTGGCCCTCAAAGTCTGCTGCAAGTCAGAGCAGAAGCAACGGGGGAAGCTGCTCACCACCATTTTGCTTGCACTTCTTTTCTTCCTCATCTTTGCTTTCCCACTAAATGCCATTTACACTGCCATCTATTTTAATGAGAAGAATATGATTCTATTGGAAGTTGGTTTGTGTGTGCCTCTCTGAATAGTAGTGTCAACCCGCTGATCTATTTCCTAGTTGGGAGGAGACAGAAAAAGGGCCAGTCCAGGGTCTCCATGAAAGCTGCACTCCAGAGGATTTTCAAGGATGAGGAAGAATCAGCATACAAAACTGAAAACTCAGTTATGATAGCAACTTAATGCCTTAAGGCACGACTGGCCAATCCTTTATTATCATAAGCACAATAATGTACAGAGGGTAGTCTTTGGTGTGAAAGACTTCTTTTAATGCCTTTCTATCTCATGTCCAACATAGGAAATTTAAACTAGGAGTTTTGTATTGTAACATTTGCTTTGGATATAGCAAGACTGTGGCGATGGGCCTTGGACAGAAGGTCTGCTTGAGCATAGCCTTCTTCACCCCTATATTTTCCGATGGGTTGAGCTAAAGCTACTCTCCCCACCACCTCCCCATGCCATAATATTGATTGGCATTTCAGGCTTTCAGAAAGTACACAAGTAGACTGGACAAAGCACACAACTCCAAGCTAGACAGCAGTGGGACATGACCACAGTCCCTTGCTCACGCTGACTGCACTGGTTGTGAACCGCCTTGATATCTAAAGGTATAGGGTGGTATACTAATTTAATGCAGAATGAAATAATTATAATAATTGCATGTATCTTATATTGTTCTTTTTCGTTTCTCTGTTGTTCTTTTTCATTTCTCCATTGCTCACTTGCATTTCATTTATGTATTATTTTCATTCTTATACCACAGAGCTTTATCTTAATCATTTCTCAGCTGCAATTTAAATAAATCTTTCAATTTTATTGTACTTTGCATCTGACTCCAGTCCTTACTGAACAGCACACAACAACTCACTATTGAAGGTCCATCACATTTTTGCTGTGTGGGTATACTCATGTGTAGGCAACTTGTTAGCAGCTTCCAACCATTTAGCAGAGTTTCTGGGAAGCAGAACAATTGAAGCTACACTTTGAGAAGAAACACAGACACCATAACACTCAGTCAAGTGAATTATTTCTTGACTGGACATAAACGTTTCACAGTAGCACTATTTACAATCATTATAGCAATAGCTGTAATGGCATACTTAAGTTTCTGGCCTTCTTTCTTTTAAGCAATGATGGAGGCAGACACAGTCTATCAGCAGTCATGAAGCAGCAGTTTGGTCAGTCATCTAGTTCTCCTTTTATTGGCACTTCCAGCTGAAGCTGTGCATGCTCAGAGTGCCTCTCCCACTTATATATGACTGTTCTGGAATCTTCTCCCTAGGCCACTATCATATCACAAAAAACCACAAGTGCCTTTATCCAGATTAAAGACCCAGCCAGAGATTTCAGATTGTAATACAGTGGTAACTTACCGTATTTTTCGCCCTATAGGACGCACCGGCCCATAGGACGCACCTAGGTTTGGGGGGGGGGAAATCAAGGGGGGGAAATTATTTCCCCCCCAGGTTTGCGCAGCCATCCCCAAGCTAGAAGAGGGAGATGGAGCGCTCCGTCTCCCTCTTCTGCCTTCAGTGACAGCCTCCCTAGCCTCTGGGGGCAGCGTACTCCGCTGCCCTGCAGAGGCTTTGCGCAGCCATCCCCAAGATAGAAGAGGGAGCCGGAGCGCTCCGTCTCCCTCTTCTGCCTTCATGGACAGCCTCTCTAGCCTCCGTGGGGCAGCGGCTTGCCCCACTGTCCCCCGAGTTTGTGGGGCTGGCGGGGGGGAGAAGCACGCTTGCTTCCCCCCCCCCCCCGCCAGCCTCCAGATCAGGTCGGGGAATCGCGGGGTGGCGGCGCGCCGTCCCCCCGCTATCCCCCTTGTTTGGGGGGGGGGGGGGGGGGAGACGCAAGCTTGCTACTCCCCCCCACTGTGCCTCCCCGCTGTCCCCCAAGCTTTTGGGCTGCAGGCTGCTGCCCGCAAGCCTTGTGAGCCCGCGGGACCTCCCGCCGGGCTTGCAAGACTTGCGGATAGCTTCCTGAAGCCTGGAGAGCGAGAGGGGTTGGTGCGCACTGACCCCTCTTGCTCTCCAGGCTTCAGCGAAAGCCTGCATTCGCCCCATAGGACGCACACACATTTCCCCTTCATTTTTGGAGGGGAAAAAGTGCGTCCTATAGGGCGAAAAATACGGTAGTTTACAAACACCTCGGGTTACAAACACTTGGGGTTTCAGACTCCACTAACCTGGATGTAGTACCTCGGGTTAAGAACTTTACCTCAGGATGAGAACAGAAATCACGCGATAGCAGCACAGTGGCAGCAGTAGGCCCCATTAGCTAAAGTGGTAACTCAGGTTAAGAACGGTTTCAGCTTAAGAACGGTTTCAGGTTAAGAACGGACCTCTAGAACTAATTAAGTTCATAACCAGAGGTACCACTGTATCCACTATTTGTGAGGGGGATAAACCATATTGTTGATTCTGCACTCCGATACACACCGCAAAATACATACAGTTACAAGACAAATGCTCTGGACAACACAATGTTAGTTTTTGAAGGCATTTGCACAGAAGACTATGCACAGAAATCAGCAGATTAACTGGTGAGATACTTCCTGTGGCTGAAAGCTGATAATGAAGCATATGTAACAAACTTCATATCAAGGAAACGTCTTGAAAAACACAAGCTCTTGCAGAAACTGAATCTTCAGTAAAAAAGGAGGGGGCTTCCCAAGGGAAAATCTCTCAGCAAAATGAGGAAGAACCTTTGCACAAGAAAAATCAACAACACCACACCATCTTTTTTTTTTTAAAGAATATTTATTCCAATTTTACAATTACAAAAAAAGAAAAAGTATAAAAAAGAGAAACACAAACCACATACATCTTATAAAAAACAGACAATAAAAAAGGAATAAGAAAAATAGAAAATCACAATAGAAAAAAAAGGAAATAACAAAAAACATATTTGACCTTTACAAACCATTTTCCCATTTACTTATTTCCATGACTTCCTCTCACCTCCCTGCTTTGTATTCTAGTTTAAATCGTATCTCCAGCAAATCCTTCTAACCTTCTTTTCTTTTACTTATTTTAACATTCGAAAGTATTTAATTCTCCTCTATCCTCATTTTACACTTCATATTTACTTATTCCATTATACCCTGTCTGCCAATACGGTCTAATATTCTTCTCCAACCTTTTTCTAACATTCTTTTATATTGCAGTGTTTCTGAAGATATATTTTAAATTTTTCCAGTGTTCTTCCATCAACCCTTCTTCCTGATCTCAAATTCTGCCGGTCATCTCAGCCAGTTCCATATTGTCCATCACTTTCCTCTGCCATTCTTCTTGGGTAGGCAATTCTTGTGTCTTCCAGTATTTCCCAATGAGTATTCTTGCCGCTGCTGTCGCATACATAAAAAAATTCCTGTCTTCCCTTCTCACCAATTGGCCGACCATGCCCAAGAGGAAAGCCTCTGGTTTCTTCACAAAAGTGTATTTCAATACCTTTTTTAATTCATTATATATCATTTCCCAGAAGGCCTTGATCTTTGGGCACGTCCACCAAAGGTGAAAAACGTACCTTCATTTACTTTGCATTTCCAACATTTATTATCAGGCAAATGATAAATTTTTGCTAGCTTGACTGGGGTCAAGTACCATCTATATATCATTTTCATTATATTTTCTCTTAAGGCGTTACAAGCCGTAAATTTCATACCTGTGGTCCATAACCGTTCCCAGTCGGCAAACATGATATTATGCCCAACATCTTGTGCCCATTTAATCATCGCAGATTTAACCATTTCATCCTGTGTAACACCACACCATCTTTAAGACTTGTTCTATAAAACTCAAAATATAGCTTAGATGTTTTATATGAAAGGACTACCCCAACATTTTCTTCAAATGTTCATTTCAGATGAAATTCAATGGAATTCCTACACTTGGACTTGCCACTATGAACACTCCTCTACATGCCTCTGAACATGTATCATACATAACAAGTGGCTAATCAATCAAACCAGTTAGCCAGAGTCATATTGGGGGCCAAGGGGATTAGAGATGATAGACCACCTCCTATCCCATGGGTTACTTATCCATGAGGAAGAAAAGGGTTATAGCCAGATGGGGAGGTGGTATGGCCCCAGGCACACAATTTTGAAGGAGGCAGTGCTAAAACCACTCCTTAAGAAACCTTCCCTGAATTTGGAAAACCTAACTAACTACCAGCCAGTTGCTAATCTCCTTTTCTGAGCAATGTTCTGGAATGAGTGGTCACAGACCAGATCCAGGCACTTCTGGAAGAAACTGATTTTCTGGTTCCATTTCAATCGGGGTTTAGGCCCGGTTTTGGCACAGAAACTACTTTGGTTGCCCTGTTTGATGACCTCTGTTGAGACAGAGACAAGGGAAATATGTCCCTGTTAATTCTTCTCAACCTCTCAGTGGCTTTTGATACCATTGACCATGTTATCTTTCAGAAGTGACTGTCCGAATTAGGAGTGGGTGGTACCTCTTTGCGGTGGTTCCAGTCCTACTTGGATGGTCGTTCCCAGAGGGTGTTGCTTGGGAAATGCTTTTCAGACCCATACAATGTGGGGTTCCACAGGGCTTAAGCCTATCCCCACATTATTTAACATCTACATGAAACCACTATGGGGATATCTGGAGGTTTGGAGTCCACCTATTCCAAACGTGTTAATTCCAACAGACCTCTGATTGGAATTGTGCTGTAAGTAAATCAAACCTATGTGCTGAGTGGCAAACACCAGCAGAATTTCAAGTGGCAGGAAATTAGAAAGCTGGGCTGCCACCGTCACTAAAGATAAGCGTCATTATCCAATTTAAAGATCCTGACAGATATTTCAGATTGTAGTATCTGCTATTTGTGGGTGAGGGATAAACCATATTGTTGATTCTGTGCTCTGATACGCACACCCAAAATGCATGCAGATACAAAAAAATGCCCTTCACAGCAAAATGAAGAGATTTGATCACAGCAACTATGTGAGCAGAAATGAGCATAGTTATTGGTGAGATATTTCCTGTGGTTGAAAGCTGATAATGAAGCATGTGCAACAAATGTCATATCAAGGAAAGTTGTTGAAAAACACAAACTCTTGCAGAAACTAAACATAGTAATAGCCATCCAGAGTGGCTGAGAAAACCCAGCCAGATAGGCAGGTTATAAATAATAAATTATTATTAAACTATTATTATTATTACTATTATTATTATTATTATTATTATTATTATTATTTTATTTTCAGTAAAGGAGGGGTCAGGTAACTTGTCAGGAAAATGTTTCACCTGTGGAAATACCTTTGCCTAAGGAAAAACCAACATCAGGACACGATCCTCTCATATGGTCGCCATTGCCATTCTAAGAGAATGAGGGAGGTGTTCATGGTGTGTTCCAGCACCTCTTTTTCTAGAAAAATAGCACTGGGTATGGGGGACCCCCTGCTCACCCTCCTGTTCATGGAGACGCAGGTCAATTCTGCCTTGCCAGAGTGGTGTATGCTTTGGATATCTCCCACTTGGACTACTGCAATGCGCTCTACATGGGGCTACCTTTGAAGGTGACTCAGAAACTACAACCCATCCAGAATGAAGCAAATAGATTAGCCACTGGGAGTGACCGCCAGAACCATATCACACCAGTCCTAAAGGATCGACATCAGCTCCAAGTACAGTGGTACCTCGGGTTAAGAACTTAATTCGTTCTGGAGGTCTGTTCTTAACCTGAAACTATTCTTAACCTGAAGCACCAATTTAGCTAATGGGGCCTCCTGCTGCCGTTGCACCGCCGCTGCACAATTTCTGTTCTCATCCTGAAGCAAAGTTCTTAGCCCGAGGTAATATTTCTGGGTTAGCGGAATACCTGAAGCGTATGTAACCTGAGGCGTCTGTAACCCAAGGTACCACTGTATATTTCCGAGCATAATTCAAAGTTTTGGTGCTGACCTTTAAAGCCCGAAGTGGCCTCTGACCTGTATACCTGAAGGAGCGTCTCCATCCCCATAGCTCAGCCCAGACACTGAAATCCAGCTCTGAGGGCCTTCTGGCGGTTCCCTCACTGCGAGAAGCCAAGTTACAGGGAACCAGACAGAGGGCCTTCTCAATAGTGGGGCCCATCCTGTGGAATGCCCCCTTCCATCAGATGTCAAGGAGATAGAGAACTACACAACATTTAGAAGACATCAGAATACAGCTGTGTATATGGAAGTTTTTAATGTTTGATGTTTGATTGTGTTTTAAATATTCCGTTGGGAGCCAACAAATTATTATTATTATAAGTAGTAATAGTAGTAAACTGACCAATATCTACCCTTGGTTTAGGAGGGGTCGCTGTTGTGCAATTTCTAGTGTAGCTTAATGTCAGTATAACCATACTACTCAGAAGTAAGACTTACTAAATTTCATGGGCATGTCTCCCAGATAGGACTGGGGCCTGAATTCGTTAGTCTGAAAGGTGCCACACAGAATGTTTAACTAGGTCCCCATTAAAGTTTCTGCCCTCTGGAAAAATATCATCCCTCACCCCAACTTATTTACTTGTACATTTTGTTTCCAGAAAGTGTGGCAGAATATCAAATGGAGTAGCGCATAAGAGACCAGGGTTACAATTACCACTCATCGATGGAAGGCGGTATATAAATTGAATAAATATAATAATAATAATAATAATAACAACAACAACAACAACAATAAACAATTGATATGTTTCAAATGGCCATTCATACTGTTTACTATGCACCATCTTGTACATCCGTCAAATTCATTTGTGAATAAAAATATAGGCTTACTCAATTTGAATTCTCTAATCAAATTAGCCACTAAAACAATCTACCTATCAATTCCATTGGTTTGAATTCTGTGTCTGCAATTTTCTTCCTTTTCTAACGCCTACTTCCTATGAAGTTTGTTATCCAGATCTATTTCAAAATCTTCTGGTGCTTCAGTTTCCTCTTTTGATTTCTGATTACTTTTGTTGCTGACTAGCTCATCAGCGGCTGTTTCGGCTATAACTCTAGCTTGTGTTTCTTGGGGGACCAGTACATTTTATCGACTATCCCATGATGGATGATTACGAGGTAAGCACTCTTAAACAAAAGCTCCCTTTTAATTGCTTCCCCATTTGCTTTTACCTGATGCTGATTTAGGTGTCTGTTTGCTGATACTGTGGCAATTTCCCTCTGCATGCTTTCATGAGTTAGGCTTGAGATTGAATTGAAGGTGTATAGCAGCTTGTAAAAGAGAAAACAGATAGGTTGGCTGTTCATTTCAGCTATTTCCACTACCAAACATTGTAAAAACAAACAAACAAACAACCTTGTCATAACCATTAACCAAATGAGGTTAAGGGGATAAGCATGCAAAGCTAATGTGTAATAGAAATATATATTTCTAGATACATAGAATCAAAGAGTTTTAGAGTTGGAAAGGACCCTGAGGGTAATCTGTTCTCCTCTCTCTCTCCTCTCAGTCTTCAGGTGCCCAGAACTGGACACAGGACTCCATGCTTCATCAGACCAAGGTAAAATATTGCGGTTCTATTACTTCCCTTGTTTGGGACACTATAGTTCTGTGGTCTAGAATAGCTTTTTTTGCTGCTACATCACACGGTTGACTCGTAAAGCTTTTGGTCTACTACAGGCTTCCTCAACATCAAGCCTCCAGATGTTTTGAGACTACAGTTCCCATAATCCCTGACCACTGGTCCTGTTAGCTAGGGATCATGGGAGTTGTATGCCAATAACATCTGGAGGGCTGAGGTTGAGGAAACCTGGTCTACTAAGACCCCTAGATCCTTTTCGCATGTACTACTGGCAAGTCAGGTGTTCTCCATCTTATATTTATGCAGTTGGTTGTTTCTGCCTGACATTGGTACCTATTCCAATTCATTTGTTGGTTCTCCAATCTGTGAAGTTCATCTTAAATGCATCATACATACACCATGCTGTTATACAATGTTCAGCAATGTTATTTGTTGAAAAATGATATTTGATTTGTGAAATTGCAAAGTATTATTTTTTAATTAAACTACATTGTTTTTGCATTATCCCCCCTCCCCTTCACCTCTTTGCTCATTTGGTCAGTTGTTATTAACATCTATTCTCTTAAACCTAAAGTACTCTCTGTAACTAGGTTGTAATTGTGATTTTATTTAGATGTCAGAAAATTTTTCTAGCATTCAGTATAAAGAAGGTGTATTTTACCTGGGGTAAGTGCATTTTTAAAATAATTTCATGTTCAGTATAAGCACTGTATCCATTCACTTCACTTAAAGTGAAGTGAATGGATACAGTGAATGTAGATGTAACAAAGCATCTTATGTAGGTGTGTCACATAGTATATGTAGGTGTGACATAGCATAATCGATTAATGTGGAACAATATCTCATAGAGTTTTCATAACAATAGCCAGAGATTTCCATTTTGGATTCTCTCAATTTCTCACGTTTCCAGTTCTGCAGAATTTTGATTTTATTAAAAAAAAAAAAATGGTTTCCTCATAAATTTTAAAAATATTTTAATGTAACTTAGAAGAAAGT